GAGACATGTGGAGTCACAGAGACGGGGATTCAGGAGATGTTTAACTGAAGAAAGAACTGCCGAATTTGAAAAAGGGTCAATAGGCATTACGTTTAAGAGAAACAGATAGACAGACAGACGAGTAGTTTTGGAGGTGTTGCATGATATAAAGCTGGCATTGGCTTTTATTGATATACAAGTGTCTGGTCGATCGGGGGTGGGCAGACTTTTAATGAAGTGGACGAGGGTGGGGATAAAAATCAATACAGAGTGGTTGTATCGATTGAGCAATGAACGGGGTTGAAAGTGGGGGACAGAACACCAACAGACAAGCAATAAGAGTAGCACGGATGAGAACCCGGTATCTGCGAAAACCCATATTACCGGTACGCGATTGATAGATTTGAAAAGTATTTTTATTATTTACAAAAGCATCGCAAAATTGTTTTCTGTTCTCGTTCGGAACTCCTCGTCAGTAGCCCGATAGAACTGGAACAGATAGATAGTCAAATTTGTTCAGGATTAACTACGCTAACAACAGTCGGTCTATCGAGGACGTGAGAGTTCACGATTTGGGTTTCGTTAGGAATAGGAAAATGTGGACGTCGGGGTCGATATAGACAAGGAGAAAAAAATTGCACCACTTCTGCTGAGCAAATGAAACTTTGATTTTGCCATAGAATCTTCCCAACTCTTGAAGGGTTGAATTGAGCCCAGTCAAAACATTCTTCATTTATTTTGATGGATCAAAACAGACGAGTTACATAATTGAGAACAAAAACAACAACAACAGTGTGGCGGAGAACCTCGTTTTCCCTTATTCGTGATCATTAACATTAAATGACTAAAAACAAACAAAACGAACAGGGACTGAGAAATTCGAGTCCTTGTGGCTCCAATCAGGTATGTGCACGTGTGATATTGATCACAGTGTCAAAAGTTCAAGTGACTGCACACGTGTTGGAGCGAATGAAGTGCATGGGCCAGGGAAGATTAAGTGCTAGCACGATTTTCTTTCCTCGGCGCACAAGGGGACAGGGGTGGTGAACCCGATTATTTAGGGCTTTGACCGTGACCTGTTTGTCCTTGTTGTTAGTCCCATTTAATAGTAGCATGATTACGAATAACTGAAAACGAGCTTGTATGCCACGCTGTTGGTGTTGTTCACAATATGTTCTGTGGGAATAATGAAACGTTTGAAACAATCCAAATTTACGTACTTAATATCATGTAATTATAATTATGTAACTTGGGATTGTTTCAAACGTCTCATTAGTCCCACAGGACACATTGAGGTGAACAAAAGCATCCAAAAGCCTCAGTGTATGGTCGGGGGTGGGGGGTGTCTAGGGTTGCGGCTGATCACCCTTCCCTTGCACCTCGCCAAATGTTCCCATTAGACCAAGCGTCTGAAATAGCCTATGCTGAGGAAGCCCTGTTCACTGTTTTCCCACCAAAGTGAGAAGACGAAAAGCCGACATCCGGGGCTATAACGGGGTTGGTGGACCACTGGTAGTTCACCTAGGGAAGTTGGCCAAAAACCCGGGTTCCAAACCAACCAACTAAACACACCTTCCCGGTTGTGGCAGTGGTCACCGGTTCCATTGGGTATCAAGGTGTATTGGGAACATCGGACGTTTGACCCCGTCCAAAGGGCGTATGGTCCGATGAACTGGGCACCGGCCACCAATGGATTGCGGTCTTCGTACACCACCCCGTTGACTTACAAGTCAGGCTTTGGCTAACCGAAGGTTCCGGTTGTGGATTCCTGACAAGAACCCACCTGTCTTGGCCTGGACAACCAGGCAGTATTCAGCCAACATGCAAATCATGGAACGTTGTTTTTTCTTTTCATCAAGATTATCGTACCATGATTTGCTTGGCAGGACAGTTTGGATTCTGACGTGTGTGAAATTTATATTATATTGACGTGATTATTACTCTCGTTTGCCTCGCTAGTATTATTGTTGTTACTGTTGTCGATGTTGCACAATCGTCAACACGACTTGTGTACGCTTCCTGACGCGTGCATACCTGTTAAAATCACTCTTTTGACGTATCCCGTCTTGACACCTTGTGTGTGTGTGTGTGTGTGCACGTGCGTGCGTCTTACACTTGAATCCGCCCGGAACGGAAAATAAAATCAACTGCTTCGTGCAAGTAAGTGACAGTGTGTTGCGGTTACAGTAGAGCGGGATGAGACGAATCACCGAAATGATCCAATTCATGTCATCATCGATCACAAACTTTTCTGCATAACATTTGATGTGGCAATGGATACAGTCTGATAGCAACCGCTGTGTATCGAGAAAAAGATCAGCATTTACTCAATGCTTTCACACTTAGGAAACGTAATTTTCAAAATCGTGGTACTATGCATCCTCTCTCATTGGCTCTACTGTTCCCCCGGAATTTTTTCCCGGCTTAAAAGAAAAAAAGATTTTGTATTAATTTCAGGTCTATAAAACTCCTAATCCGATGTAGTGGCACAGCCAGAGATGTGCTGGTTGATTTTTATTGTGTGCAAACATATCGACACATGTGAAATAGCCGACCGAATCTTAAACAATGAAGATCACTGCTTGTACAATGAACTTATTAAATCTATGTTAAACCCCCGTACCCGCTCGCATTATAGCCTCCTTCCCGCACGCGCCGTCACATACAGGATACGCATCCTCCCTTTTCTTACTCGCATTTTAGTAAATCAGGTACCAATTATTACAGGTTTGGTTGAACACCTCGTGATTTAGTTTACTTATTCACTTTTATCTGTCCCTATCGTCTTCCTGTATGCAGTTTTGCTGTCGTTTTTTTCAATTAACCGTATTCACACTCGAATGCCAACCCCCCTCAATTAGACTGTAGTATCACGAAAAAATCGCTCAAAATTTACCCTCCGGGTGCATAAAGCTTATTTTGACTTGACTACAGCGTTGTTTCGGTTTTCCAGTTAAGCTTGATTGAACACATTTTTATTACACACTTTCGTGTGATAAACNNNAAACAGCAGACGGGGTAAACCATGATCGGGAGGACCTGCTATTCAGTGATGGAAACCGGTAACCTAAACCCCGCGGGACTTGGAGTGGCGAACCACATAAGGCCCAGATAGGTTAGGTGTGGTATTGAACCGGACAACAACAGAGTTGCCTACCACCAGTCGGGTGGCGGGGCTCGAACCTCGGA